AGACAGAAACCAGAGAGAAATGATAAGGTAAGGTAAGGAAGTAGATGAGGAGCCCCGGGGCTTCTCTGTTTGATGGCCTTTCCTCCGATCAATAAAGCTCACTTCAGCTATTGATCTTCCCACATCCTGCACACACCTGTTGGCCTCTTTGAGACTGGAGGCAGAAAAAGAAGTGGCAAGAGCAACAACGGTTTAAGGAGAATGAAAGATGTGCAGCTAAATAGAGCAAAGGGAAGTAAAATACAGGGAGAGAGAAAAGGAAAGAGACTTATCCTATAGCCCCGATTTTGCCTAAATTACAAACATATATACATCATGAATTTATCAGAAATGATCAACTCTTTGTCCTCGACTAGACAGAAATACAAAAGCATAGACACTGACTTTTATACCAGCTAACACATGGAAATGTTATTTCCTTTCCCGGGGCCCTGGTTCTTTTCGTCTAAGAGGTCTCTGCTCAGGCGGTAGACCCAGGAACTGTTACAAATGCCGTTACTTATCAGCCTTTCCTGTTGCATTTTAAAATCATCATCTTTCTGAGCCCTCAACTGCAAACACTATGTTTCGCTTCACAGCTCTTTCTGCTAAGATCAAGATGAACGTTAATGGACCATCAGACCCGGTTTTATGATCGGTGGAGTAAAGTTCAGGCTTTGTTGTAACTTTGCTGCAGAGGAGAACATCCAGAAAATTTAATAGGCAACACATAATGACGAAGTATACTTGAAGTCTTGTTTGATTTGAATTTAGACTACATCCACACTTATACTCTTTAGTTTTAAAACGCATCTCTTTTGCTTCGTGTAGACCTGCTGCTAGTCCTGCTGTAGATTGAAAGCTCAGGGTTGCGTTGTAGTCTGGACAAGCAAAAAGAGAAACCTTTGGAAACGATGACATAGACACCCACGCCGGTCTCCTGATTGGGTCTTATCAGGCTCAACTACAAGTGGTGAATGCAACGTAACAACAACAACACAGTGAAAGCGCAATTGACCTTGCTGTCTTTGCTAGCAGCATTTTATGCTTGTAGCATGTAATGCCTTGCAGTTCCTTTGCGTTCACAAGGCCAAAACCAGGTTTTTGAGTTCACCAAGACCTTGACCTTTGACCTTTGACTACCAACATCTAAACAGTTCATCCTTGGGTCCAGGAGAATGTTTTTTTTCAAATTTGAAGAAGTTCCATCCGCGTAACTGAGATATCGCGTCCACGAGAATGGGATCTGAAAACATCATGCCTCTGGTCCTGTGCTGTCGCCTATGTAACCATACAGTGTTAAAATATGTGCACTCTATGTAAAACAATGTAAAGTTTAAAGCAAATGAACAGATTCTAAATCAAACAATCTGTGTGAAATTAAACGTTTAACTGTGGTTGATTGCAAATTAAAAAGAACCCATGTTGATAACAAACTAATGAGGTGAATTACAAGGACTGGAATAATATCAACCTGTGTGGCTGTGGCCATCGCAGGCTGCAAGGGCTCACCATGGTATAACGAGGAATGGGACAGCACTTCACGTTACCTTGACAACGCCAAAACATGTTGGGTTTGGGACTTTTAATTTTAAATTTTTTATTCCCTCCCTTTGCCCCCTGTTTGTAAAGAAAATAGTAATGTTGGATTAGATCTGATGTGTAGCAGGAATTAATCATCGTGCCATCATAGGTCACAATGACTGTGTGAATCACCAGTGTGTTGTGTTCATATTGACACGTAACGTTAAAGTTAGGGTTTGTTTGTTTGTTTGTTTGTTGACTGATCTTCCAGTCGACCTCCTGGTAAGCATGGTAACCCAGTGTTTAACGTCACAGCGCTATGAACTGTGGTCCACCGTGAGTCCTTGGAAATGCAGACTTTGCGGGAAGTGTGCATTCAGGGCTCAACATGTGTCAAAACGAAGACTGATAATAGTTGTCTGTTTGATCAGCTGATCAGGGATCAGAATCAGTCTAGTTCGTTTCACAGTGAGCATCATCGCGTCTTTTCTCTGGGTTACATATGCTGATAGGATGTTTATTCAAGTCATCAATCAGATTTTGGGAGTTTGTCGTACAGCAGCGCACACACTGATGTGAAAGTCAGAGTGATGGCCTGCTTGTCTTATTGTGATACCTGGAGAGGGAAGATGAGATCACAAAATTAAGGCTGCAGGATGAACTGCTCACCGCTGTGAATACCTGCGCTGTCGGTGTCGGTGCATCAGTCAGGTGGGATAGTGTTGTGACATTAAACCTAACAGCCCGCAGCTGCAGGTGCTGCTCAGTTAATGTGAAACCTCTCTATTGCCTCTGAGTTTACATAGTATGTTCTCATTTAATATACTTTGGACTGTTTTGATAAGTCAATTATTTCCCTTTAATACAAGTTAACACCACAGTAGTTTACAGTTGTGTTGTTTTAGCACATGTGGATTGGATCACCATTTCTAATGTGAACATTTCACATGGAGGCACCTGTGGTTTTAGGTCATGTCACATGGGATTAATTCACAGTAATGAGACTTTGATTTTCAGCCACTTCACCTGTGTGAAAATGTAATGTGTGATAAATAAACGTGTGTGTTCCAACATGTAGAGAACGTAATACATAAAATATCCTGAATGTCAGGGGTTTTTTTTTTTCTCTTGCTAGTTGAAAAGTGAAAAATGGAAATAAATCTTCATTCAATTTTCTACACAGTTATTAATTTTCCATTTAAAATACTAATTTGAGTACATTTTAAGTTTTAAGGATTTTTCGTATTATGCCTCCACACAGCCAGAGGCGAGGCATAATGAACTGATGAAGAATGATTATGTGGTGACTTCAGACTCAAACTGACTTCAACTTCAACACGGACTCAAACTGTTAGACCTTTTGACTTGGAATGATTTCTGGAATGATCCTCCCCAAGACCAAAGAGTAAAATTCATGTCACAAAAAAAGCGTGTGCACAAATCCAACTCTTCATTTTCCCAAAAATAGATATACTTCCAATCAATCCAAGCGCAGCCAATCATGTTTAGCTAGCATGAGGGAAAATGCTATGATTACGCTCACATTTCCAAAGTGCACCTCTTCATGTACAGGTGCCGTTCATTCTGTGGTTGATGTGGTGGGAAATCAGCCACAGAAATGTTCAGACTGGAGGACACACAAGCACAAATCAGATTATTGAGAATGAGATTTCTGTATGTTTAGAGTGAACCAGCTGCCGGAGTAAACAGCATCCTCCCCCGAGGAAGATTGTCTCCAGGAGAGAGAAAGTTTACCACCTTACTGGACTGAAGGGCCCGTTATCGTTATGACCTCATAACTGTCGCCATGGAAAATGGGCAGTCATTTCCCACAGAAGTGTTTATGTGAGCATGTGTGTGTGTGTGTGTGTGTGTGTGTGATGTCATTCTATATCGGTGAGCACATTTGGTCCTTTCGACTTCAGAAAATTCGAGAACTTGCGCACATGCAAACACTCATGCATAAATAACACAAATACAAGCACAGTCACAATCACATACACCTACACACAGCAAACCCCCGTAGAGCCTGTGAAGACGTTTCATTCTGGGAGGACAACTGCATAAACTGTGAGGGGAGGCAGAGAAAGTGAGAGGCATTCAGACACATTATTAGAAAGACACAGAGAGAGAGAAAAGTTCAGACTCTGGCCATTCCACCTTGTGGTGCTCTACAGACCACCTGGCGCTCGCTCACAATTTTTAAAAAAATATGTAGAATTTATCTCAGAGCTTGTTACTTATTCTGATGAGATTCTGAATAAAGCTGATTTCTTTATTCACCCTTTCTGACACTTCTCCACTCTTTTTGTTTCACCTAGTTTGTCAATGCACTCAGGAGCCGTGTGCTGATCGGGAAGCTGCTTGTCTTTCAAAACCCAGTGTTGTTGTTGCTGTGGATAATTCACAGAACATATTCTGTTTTTGTGAGGACTGATTCTTACTGGAGGAATGAGTCCTTATTGAAGCAGTGAACAGTTCTGCTCTGTTGACTCGCTGCAGTAACGGGGACACTGCTGCTGTTGAATGTTTTATATTCAGTGTGTCTCTGTGCTGAGCGTCACAAACAAAATACCATGAGTCTCCATTGTTAATATCTCAATAATAAAACCCAAAGTATTTGCGTGGCTAGATATCATAAGAAGTAAGAGCATCCCAGACAGCAAAATTAAACTTCTGGCCCAACGTATACCTGAGTCCTCGGCCCGAGTCTGGCCCATACACTTGCACATCTGGGGAAGTCCAGCTGTTATCCTCCGGTATTGACTGACAGAGGGAAGATTTTCTGCATGTGCGCTAGAATTGGTCCAAATGTGGAAGTAGCATCTTACAATCATGTTGTGCATGGGCCAGATTCGGGCCGTGGAACTGGGTGTATATTGGGCCAGAAGAAAACAAGCATGCAGCCCAAGTATGGCCCGGACTTATTTTGTTATGTTTTGTTTGTAATTTCAGTGAACTAACTCTTTAATGTCTCGCTATAGGTTCTCTCTCCTCCTCTCCTCCCCTGGCATCTCCCCTACTTTTCTCCTACTGCCTTTATTTCTTCTCTCCTCTGTCGTGACACCCTCGCGGCATGACTCATAAAACATTAAACTGCTGCTATTGTCTGTCACCTGCTCCAGCAAATAACTTCTCCTCGGGAAACCAAACGTCACTGGAACCTTTTAAAGTCACTAATTCAATCACCTGAGGGGAGTTAAACATAATGCCAGCATTTAGGCCCCTTCTCTTTTTCTTCCTCCTGCTTGCTCCCTCCCTTTTTCCCTCCCACCATCTGGGCCTTCCTCTGTGTAAATTAGCTGCTGGCGCCATCTTGTGGTCACAAATGTCCATAACAAAAGTAGTTTTCTATGTATTTCAGAAATCCCTGCACCAAGAAGACGCTGTTGCACAAATGTAATTTTCTGAAAATCAAAATCTTTATGTTTATACAAATTGAAAATAATTACAAAATAAATAATCTCATCATTTAGTAGTTGTAAACTTTGACAGTCTTTTAGTGGAAGTGTGTGTATGTGTGTATATATTTTTTTATTCAACAATGTATTGTCATGTGTGGAGTGTGTGCGTTAGTCTGTGTGTTCCTCCTCTGTCTTGTCCTTGCTGATGGGAAATTCCAGCGATGTCCTGAAGCGGATGGGCACCTGGTGCTCCTCGCTGTTTGGCTGCTTGAGCACGGGGGCGTGGATCCGCAGCTGTCCATCATCCATCAGGGAGCAGGATAGGCCGGACAGATCCAGGTGTGGGGGCAGGTCGATCCTCTGGACGAACCCTGTCTGAGATGAGGCCGAGGCGCAGAAGGAGGCGCGGGACGAAGAGGAGGAGCAGGACTGGCTCTCTTCTGCCCCGGCCTGCTTCATGGCCACCACCGCCAGGCTCCGCCCCTCCAGTTTGACAGTGATGTCATTGGGGGCGTAACCACGAGCATCTAGGGTCACCAGGAGGTCACGGTTGTTTTCTGTGGCCTGCTGCGTGTCCTTCTGCAGCTCCATGCTGGGGCTCTCTCTCTGCTGCTCTTTACCATCACTCAGCCTGAAACACAATCAGGATCCAGATCAGAATCAGCCTCAACAAGTTTACCAACTCATCCACTGATTATAGGTTCCAATAACTAATCATGAGATACACAGTTACTCTACATACCCTGCCAAAGTGGAGGAAAGGAGGGGCAGCTTGCCGAGTCTGAGCAGGGGGTGCTCGTCGTGGAGCTCCCTCAGGAGGCTGTCGGCCACTTTGGCTCTCTGGTTGAAGAAGCCTTGCTGCAGCGAGGAAAGGGCCCCGTGGTTCAGCGGCCACAGCAGCCGTTCCTGGCTGAAGAAAGGGTCATCGCCAAACAGGCTGGTCAAGGCAGCGTGCTGGGACATCATGTCAACGTTGAAAGACCGTTCTTGACAAAAACTTTGCTTTGTTTATAAGACAACTTGCGAGCGCTGTAGTCTCGTAGTTTCCTTAATATCTTTAGGCTCCAGTGAAGAGTGAGAACTGACAATTTCCTGAGCGTCTTCTTCTTGCGAGTCTTCTGTCAGGTAGTTTGGGAGATTACACACAACTCTCCCCTTTAAATACCCCAGCAGTCCCACTCCAGCCCTCCCACCGTGTTATTTATACCCCATGAGCTCACTGCTGTTTGCTAGCGTGTGCCAGAGGGGTCAGGAATGCCCTGCAACTCATCAGGAGGCTAAAGACAGCTCATGGTCACATCCTGTTTGTGTTTGCGTGTTCACACTGCAGACAGAAATGTCATGTTTGCTATTTTTCATTCCTAATGTGTGATGCAGGTACAGATTTAAAAAGTGTGAGAGCAAAATGGTGAGTTTGTTCAACGCTGCAGTGTGAGAATATCTGTGATGACAGTGAAAACAGCTAATGTGTGCTCAACAAATGAATATCTACTCAGTAAATACCACCTCCAACAAGTGTCAAAATGTACATCCATGAACACCAGTATCCTAATATCTAGTACTTAGTATCTGTGTCGACTGCCTATGACCAAATCCTGATTTTATAACTGTGACGTCGTCTGATAAAATCACCAAACACATAAATTAAAGACAAAGACTGAGCTGAGATTTCACCTGGATTTACTGTAAAATTATCACACAGAAAGAAAGTTAGAAGAGACAGAGCATGACTCCAGAATATGACAAACTTTTATTAGAGGCAGGCCTTTATGTCTAAGTCGCTCTGTTTGATATGTACAATGGGTCATAGCTGTTGGTCCAAGCCTCGTAACAGATGACTTCTCTCTCTCTCTCCCTCTCTCCTGCTCTTTCTGCTTGGTGTGTCTTATTTTTATTTTTTCCTCTTCACTTTATTTGCTGTAATGGAGTTGAGGCTCAGTGTATTGGAAGCGCTCCTCTGCTTCTCTGTGGTTCCCGAGCAGAGAGACTTGGTAGACTGCGGCTCGGCACTCCACTGACCTGTGGTGGAACTATCATCAGTCAGTCAGTCAGGGACATTTGTGATTATAAAGCTGGCCCCACTGTTGTGGTGATTGATTATTATACAAAGATCATCTAGTTTTGAGAGATGATCTAGTTTCTGTCAGTACAGTCCGTGTGCTTATTATTATAACCATGATAATCAAGGTCCATTATGCCTGCTGTCGTAGGGGCGCTATTTCAGGAGACAGTCCTATGGGTCGTGTCAGAGGAAACTGAAGAAAACGTGTAGGTAATCACAAACGATCTTTATAAATGTTACAGCTCACAGACATGCCTTTTCATTGGATGTATAAACTTTTCCTTGAACTGACGTCCATGAACCAGACTTCAGCAGCTGTTCAGCACTTAACATGTAGACCAGCAGTGTAAACAAAGCCTGTCTTGTCTCAAGTTACGAGGCTTCATCCCTGCTTCTTCGAGGGATGAGCTCAGAGTGCAAACACTCTGAGTCTGGCTGCATGTGTGTGTCAGTGTGTGTGTGCGTGTGTCAAGCCAGTGTGCTAACATTACAAGGAGCATGTGTCATATCTATTTGTGGCTTTCAAGGCGTCATATTGTAAACCTGCTCTCACATCATTGGTTCATACAGTGACCTGGTTCTCATGTGATTGGCTCAGAACAGCTTCCTCAGTGTGGTATTTCCAGGTTCTGCTTGTAACAGTGTGCAGAGATATTTTGTCAGTGTTGTTAGTATTAATGGATTACTGTTTCAAGTTTTGTTGACAGTATAACAGAGATATTATATTGATCCAACTCTGCTGTGTCTGTATATGATACACTCAGCAGATTTTATTGGTTGAGATGAAGATGGATGGCTTAAGACATCATTCGACAGTTTGTCAACTTTGAGTCATTGGAAGGTTTAGTGCAAAAATAAAGAAGTGTGTAAGAGAGCAAGGACAGACATAGAAAGGAAGATTCAAAAAGGCTGCCTTTTCCTCGGCTTTAAATTAAACCACCCATTTTAGTTTGGTCATTATTCATGGTTTTATATGGCTGTACGGCTTAAGTCACCATGGCCATATTGGTAATTTGTGCATGTGTTTGCTAATGTGCAGAGGAATGTGTTGTTGTATTTTATAATGAGTTGCGTTTTATTATATTTTTGTTGTGTTTTATTCTCATTAAAAATTAAAGCTCCTAATCATTGCTTCAAATAATAATGTTGTCAATTACACCAGAAGGAATAACATGACATCTTAGAAAATCGCTTTCTTGAGCGTTAGATAGGAGGATCACTCTCACATCTGTGAAGTTAATATGTAGCTGGAGCTAGTGGCAGGTTAGCGTAGCTTAACTGTTACGGCCACAGCCAGCCTGTTTTTTCTTCATTATTATCCAGGCAGGAGGTAAACATGTCGGGAACAGGAGCATCTCCTGATGGAGATACAGGAGACAGATGTGGAGCAGCAGGAGGTGAACTTCAGCTGAGCTTGATGATGAGATGCGAGCAAGGATGCTGGAGGAGGGCGGAGATTGCTGCAACTTCAGCTTTCAGTCAAGTCTTCCTTAATACCCTGAGCCACCTTGTGCAGGCATGGAGAAGCCAGTGTGACCGGGTTCTCCCACCCTCGGACTAGACCCCTTATGCCTGTAGTTTGCTCATTTGAATTTGATTTACATTTAACATATAACATTTAACTTATGCACACAGTTTGCTGTATTGCACTGATTTATTTTTACATTTGAACATTTACATTGTTCTATTTATGTATACTGAACAAAACTATAAATGCAACACTCCCATTTTTCATTAATTCAAATAAATCCTTGTAAGTGAGGACTTCTCCTTTGCCCAGATAATCCATCCACCTGACAGGTGTGGCATATCAAGATGCTGATTACACAGCATGATTGTTGCGCAGGTGTGCACCTAAGCCCTGATCCCACACTGACTTATTAATTGACATCACCTGGGAAGTGACTGAGTGTGAGAAGCCGCAAGGTTCTCATAATGGTACTAAGAGGAATGGGACAGCACTTTGATGACATCAAATCATGTTGCATAGGGTTAGGATCTGCGTTTAGCATGTCGTAAACCAACCAAACAACTTTTTTCACTTGACTAAGAATATTAAATATCTAAAACTGTGCATGGTAGTTTATGCATGCCAAACCTGAGAATGTAGAAACCAGCTGACTGATCTTTCTCCCAATACTGTTGATTCTAAGAGCAGTGGCACACTTCTGCAAACAGTTGGTGGCTTACTTAAAATACAATAGTGGGCAACATTTGCTAATTCAGATTTGAGTCCACAGAATATACCATAAACACCAGGCTTTGTGGAAGTGTAGATACTGTAACCAAAGCCTATCTGGAGACCAGATTTTGTCTGCTGTTACCCTCTGTAACCATGTTGCTCCTTATTCTGTTGAGTCTGCAACATTATAATGACATATTTGACATACTTACATTATAAGTGCATATTTGTATTGTGCATCAGGAAGACATCTAAAGTGTGAAAATGTTCAGGGGGATAAATTTACTTTTACAAAAGTGAGTCATGCATTTCATTTCCCAGTACAATCAGGGAATGTCAGTGTTAAAAAGAATGTGGCCCAAATTTCTTTGCAAGATACTCGATTTCTGACAAAGTTCCTCATCACATTCAAATATTTACCAGGAGCTTAGGTGTTTTATATATTTATTTATTAGTTTGTTTGTCAGGGACAATGCAGGAAACATTGTAAAAGGTTACAGTAACATGATACAGATGTGTATGTAGCATACAGGATTTCTATCCGAGGCTAATTTGCGACCCGTTTCCCTGGTGAGGATTTCTACTAAAAGCGTTCATAACATATAATTAGAGTATCTTCGTTAAGTTGAGCACATAATAAATAGTGACATTTTCATTCAAAAATTACAAAATTTACATCACATTACAATCAGTTTACATGTGTTGCATATGTGTATGTGTGCACATGTGTATGGTCCCCAATTCAGTATATGTGTATGTAAATAATATTTATTGGTGTGTGTCTATTTGTATGCATGTTCATCATGTCACATAAATGTTTTACAGAGTTAATAAAATAAAATGCTTTTAATCAGCTGGTGTTACATATAGAGTAAAAATTAGTCAACACCACATGTAATGATAGAGGACTATAGATTTCATTTACAATGTAATTTTTAAATTATTATTATCATAACCATTACAGAGTGGGCTGCTCCGCTGTCGCCATCTTGGCAGTGCCTGACTCCACTGAACTCCCAGCTAATACAAAAATAGGCAAAGAGGAGGGGCCAAGACTTCGGTGCATGCTGGTTTGTGACAAGCATACATTCACCCACCTGTCAGTCAAAGCGGCCACACTCTAAGCCTTATTAAAATTTAAACAGGTGAGTTATATATAAATTCACCCGCGTACAGTTATCATGAAGGAGGAAATTAAATAAATTAAGACCAAAACTGTTTTTTGTTCCAGGCTGTAAACATGTTTGTTTCTGCTGTAAAGTTGAACATTTTAACATGGGAGTCTATGGGGATTGATTCACTTTTGGAGCCATTAGAGGAACTGCAGTTTTTGGCTTCATGTTTCAGTTCCAGAGGTTCCCGCTCATTTATAACTTCACAATGGGTGACAGGGACCTCTGCTGGTGACTTTATAAATGCTCTTTATTTGGGTAGAGAATATGGAATACAGGTAACAGTTTCCACAATATTAATTAATGCCACTCAATGAAAATAATATCACTATATATCACACTAGCTAAATTTAGCTTAATCTGAACCTACAGGCAACTAAATCATTTGCAAAGTGCCTCGTTCTCCCACATTTCACTTTTATTTTGATGGAAAAATGGAAATTACACCAAACCCCTTTGTTCCAATTCATTTTCAATGTGCATGGACATTGGAAAAATAAAAAAAAGGGCCTTTTTTCTTTTTTTTCATATTTGTTTTTTGACAGGAAAACAGATGATACTTTTGTACAAATGGGTTTGCCCTATGCTGATTCATTTTAATCCAAGGAATGCACGCAATGTTTGGTCCTACGCCCCATATTTCAAGACTTATGAGGCAAAACCTTTAGGAATGGTCTGGGGACTGCACCCAAAACTAATCACATCATGTAATGCATGCTGTATATACACTGAAATGGTAATCCAAAATAAGATGAAGTATCGAATGACTATCATATTCTACTATGGCAAGAAAAGATCAAGTTATATTTCTATAGTATCATTCAATATCAATTTGAGCCAGCTGTTTCACTGGCAGTTGTCCTAATTTGGCACAAATCAGTCCTCTATCAATTGTAATCACTTTGTCACTATTGACTGAGAGTCACCTAAAAGTTTTGATAAATATCTTCATCTTTGTCATAAATATCCACAATTTGTTCATGAAATTCCGGAGTCACATTTTCATAGTCATTTTCATCATCGCTGCTTTCTTCTTCTTCTTCTTCTTCTTCATCTTCTCTGTTGTCCTCTTCACAGACGTCCTCGGACTTTACGTAATTTACACCGGGGCCGGCATCCTCATAATCATGATCTTCGTCGCTCTCAGGCTCCTCATAATCATTATCATCATCTTCTTCCACACTCCCATTGAGTTTCTTTGCGATGTACTCTTGATCTACATTCTCATAGTCATCGTCGCAATCATCTTCATAATGGTTCGCAGCCACTGAAATGCAAGCATCAGATGAAAATGTGAATGGATATGAAAGCACTTTGATGAAAGTGTGTATTTAAATTTGTGGAACTGTGTGTGTCCTGGTGAGTGCAGACCTTGACTGAAGATGATTGGCAGATGCTTGGTGTCTTGTTGTCTTTTCCTGCGCACCAGACAAACAACCAACAAGACCAGCAGGAGCAGCACCAGGATCCCAGCAGCTACTGAGGAGGCCAGCAGTAACAAAGGAACTAGGAGGTAAAACACTGAACAGTTTATCCTTGAAATCATGTCTAATTGTCTCCAAATGTAATGTACAGAGTGTACAGTCTTCAGACTTCCTCTTTCAAAATAATCTATAAATAATCAAAATTTGACTCATACACATCTGGTTTCAAAACCAGTCACCCCAGTGAAACTGCTTTCAGTAATAGAAACCCTGTTGTCAGCAACTGATGTCCAGTCATCAGTTCTGCTAGACCTGTCGGCATCATCCGTTGGCACAACCCTCCTACACCACTACCCTAATTTGAGTTCTGCCTTCCAGATCAATTATTTAAATTGGTATTGCAAGAATAAGTGTCACTTTTTACCACAGGGATTGGTGCTTGGTCGCCTCTCTTCTACATCAACATACATCACACCCACCTCCCTTCGTCTGATTATCCGTGCATATGTTTTTTTTCATACCACTGCTACTCTGATCATATCCAGCTCTAGCAGTCCTTCCTGCCAAAGTCTCAAAATGGACCATGCAACGCCACCTTCAACTCAGGCTCTCTGAAGGTGATTCCAGCCAGTTCTGTTCAGTACATCAGTATGCATTTTGGTGAATGATGAACTGAGCGTATGTTTTTACAACTAATGAACGTGAACGCAAGCGTCGTTGACTCCGGTGACAGTGAGTGACACACACACACCAGAAGATGGCGGTGAACCAAAAAGCTGCCAAAAAAACACCCAGAAGAAGAACTACTGTGTTTTGGTTTTAGGGCTGCACTCGAGGCGTGTGTCAGGTGCAGTTTCTAGTGCGGACAATACAAACAGCACAGCTACTGGTGCTGCTGAAGTCAGTTCATACGAATGTTTGAATGACTTTTATGAATAAATCAGTTCAGATTCCAAAACTCACCGCCGGGTCTGAATAAACACCCACATAAGTAATGAATTTGAAACGAGTTGAAGCATCCAACCGGTCTTTTGAAACATCTGCGAGTGATGATCACAAGAAGTGATTAAGAAAGGGTCAGACCATGAACCAACAGCCGTAAAGTCAAACTCACAGCAGATACACATAAAACATATGTTCAGCTTATTAATAATATGTCAAAATGATTTACTTAAATTCTACTTACATTTAATAACCACATTTATCTGTGCTGTCTCCGTGGAACTGAATATCCGCGTGGACAGTACGACTTCGTACACACAGCTGTAGTTGCCCTGGTGTTCATACTCAGCTACAGGGAACTCAAAGGAGGCTGAGTTGTTGACTGCAGGCTTGGAGTCGGAGGTGTTGGAGCCAGAGAAGATGAGAAAGAAACGGCCTCCAGAATAGATGGAGTTAATGGAGCAGGTGAAGACAAAGCTGTAAGCCTCAGTGATCTCTGCACCTCCAGGACTCCAGACCAGCCCTCCGTCAGGAGATGTCAGGGAGATGTTGGGCCTCTCCAGTCTTACTATGTAAATGAAAAGACAGATGGTTTGCCTCTAGGCATTTAAAATGAGATCCAGATTCATTCTAAACACAATTACAAACATACATTCAACATGTAAGTTTTCAAAGCAAATGACTAACGGCTAAGGTGGCATTTCAAAGTTGCAGTAACTTTTTTTTGGCAACTTGGGGGCTTTGGAAACAAGCTAACAATAACACTGACATATCATACGCTTTTAAGTTGATATGGTGAGCTTGTTAGCAACTAGTTGCTTATTTACACATCCAGCAGATTGGCCATCGGGAGTATCGGGAGTCTTCCCGGTGGGCTGCTGGACAATTGGGCTAATACGTATCAAAATAGAGACAAAGTAGAATTACCGCCTCGTGGTTATCTCCCTCCGCCACTCAGACTCGTTTCAGGTTCCATCCCTATTTATAAAGAATCATATAAAATATTAACCATTCTTGTGAAAGTTTGTCATAATTGCTCTGTGAAGTTTTGAGTAATGGCTAAAAAGTGTTTTGTGCCATCACAGTGACCTTGACCTTTGACCTTTGACCACCAAAATATAATCAGTTTGTCCTTGAGTCCAAGTGAACGTGCCAAATGTGAAGGGATTCCCCTCAAGGTGTTATGGAGACATTGCATTCACAATTATAACTCTCGTTTAGCTTTGTTTTTGGTCTCCACCAACTACTGAGAAAAATATTTAGCTCTTTAGCAGCTAAAAGCTCCTTTATCACCAGTAAGTGTCTAACTGTGTCCTCTCTTCAGTGATGAGCAGGTAGTACATCGCTGAAAAGAAACAGAAACTACACTATGAGATCAGTGAACCAGAACCGTTATGGACAGTAAAGCTGTGGGCGGAAGAGATAAACAACAAGCTGAAACTCACAATGAAACAGAAGGAAATTCAGGTGATAATTTGCTGTAGGTTCATCTCTAAGAGCGACTGCTTTCACCTTGTCATATTGTTCTCACACTGTCATTTATTACATCGTTATTATAAAAACATCAATCATGGCTGTTTCAATGACATAGTGTTGTAGTTTTTCTAAGATCAGCAGCTACACTAACATATTTATAGAAAGTTTTCAATACATTTAATACATTTCACTTTCACTCACAAAAACTATGTTGTTGTGTTTTCATGCCTCTGTGCCAGTGACAGCCAGAGCCGGAGGCCTTGTGAACGCGATTTCTCAGCAACACCTTGAAGGAATTTCCTCAACTTTGGTAAAAACTTTCACCTGGATTCAAGAACTACCTGATCTGATTTAGGTGGCTGAAGGTCAAAGGTCACAGTGACCTCACAAAACACTCTTTAGCCATTACTCAAGACTTCACACAGCAATTATGACAAAATTTCACAGAAATGGTTAATATTTTTTATGACTCTGGATGAACAGGGATGAAATCTGAAACCAGTCTGAGTGGTTGAGGCATACAACTGCGGTTATTCTAGTTTGTTTTATGACTTATTTTATTGATTTATTTCCTTTTCTTACCAGTGATAGAAAGTCTGACAGAGTCACTTAGAGGGGAGGTGAAATCTCGACCGGAGCTGCTTTTCTGATACTGACACCGGTACAATCCCTCATTGACAAATTCCACTTTAGGGATGCTGAAGGTAGCAGAATTGGTATTTGATGTCTGTATCTTTCTTAATGAACCTGGTGTCCTCTTCAAAGTGAATGTTCCTCCTAAAAACTGAGTTGAGATCGAACAAGTGATGCTAACGTCCTGACGCCAGGTAACCTCACTAACAGGGTTCATGGAGATGCTGGGCTTGGGAAAGATCACTGAAAGAGCAGCACACAGTATTACAGCATAAATGTGTTTCCTTTGAACTGAGCTATACTGATTATGACTTCTTATTAGTTTGCTGCTGTTTAATGATTTACACAAGTGAATGAAACAGGAAAGTGGAATTATTTTTTCTTACCAGTAACAGTGAGTCTGACCATGTCAGATAGGCTGGAGCTGAATGTTTGACCTGAAATGCTTTTCTCATGCTGACACTGATACAATCCCTCATTGTCAAAGTTCACTTTAGGGATACTGAATACAGCAGAGTTGGTACTTGAGGTTTGGGTCTTTCTGAATGAGCCTGAAGTCTCCGTCAGAATGAATGTTCCACCTACAAGCTCAGCTGAATCTGAACAAGTGATGCTGACTTTCTGTCCCCAGGTAGCCTCACCAGCAGGAGTAATGGAGAGGCTGGGCTTTGGGAGGCTCACTGAAAAAACAACACAATAATCAGGTTGAGACACAGCAACTGACCTTTGTTTTTCAGAGCTCAGTGACCATGTAGTTGTGAAATAACCAGAGATAAGATTGTGTCTCCAACCCTGTCTTTAATTGGATGTATTGAATGGAAAGATGAGCCATTTTTAAATAATTAAATCATAAATATGTGTATACTGTAGACAGCACTCTCTTTTCTTTGAGCTTTATCAGCTGTGTCCCAAGTGAGGTGGCTGCATCCTTCGCAGGCTGCATGTAAAGGCCGATTGTGTCACAGTGAGGAAACTAGGCTGTCCCACTTTGTTGTGCGCTGGTAATGAAAATGAATATGGCAGAAAACAACGGTTCAGTTCGGCCTTCACAGTCAACGCCAGCTAGATCGCAATATCCAAAGGATGTGGCCCCTAAATTGGGACACAGCTCTTGTGTTTTACTGCTTCTTACTTGTAATGGCCATTCAGGTTTTACAGTGACAATAAATAAATATATATCTATATATATATAGATATATATGTATTGATGACAACACCGACTGTACCTTTCTTGAAGCAGGCAGTCACTGGTTGATATTTCGGAGCTACCTTTCATTGACTACAGGTGGTCAATATTTGATATTTCAAACACAGGTTCTTTAGTGGAGTAATCCTTTAACAATGCCTCTTATCGAACAAGATTATCAAAATGAAACAAGTTTTAAAAAAAAAACACTTCCTATTTTGGTCCAATTTGGGGAACTGGTTAATTTTACTTTTCATCAGCCAAACATTGTGCAGACTTAATGAATATTTTGTCAGTGAAGCTCTTCTGTTTTGACTTTACAGATATCCAAGTGTATAAACTGTGCTGCCTTTCAGTAAACCAAACTCAGTGTTGTGTCCCTCAGACTGTCAGTCTGGAACCAGACAATTATTTATTTCTCTTTATTTTTCCACCATTTATTTTTCTTTTTTTCTTTTTTTTCCATTTTTACAATTCTTTATGACACCCCTTTGACTCCATAGAGTACAACATAACATTACAACATGCAGTATATATACAGTATAATGTATATATACTGTATATACAGTATATCAGATACAGTAAGTGAGTCAAAATTCATCTCACCTGAACAGACGACACCAGCGTCCTCACTATGTTTACAGTCATGTGTCCCAAATCCTCTGTGCTGACACGCACTTAGAGACCCTTCACTTCCTGAACAGGCCACTTCATCAAGCCAGATCTTCCCGGTTCCTTGACCAAAAAGGGCTGATTGAGGGGCACTCAGTGCTGTACCACAGTTCAAATTTTTACACACCACCTTAGCATCCTTTACATCCCAGCTGTCATCACAGACTGTTCCCCAGGCGTTGTTGTGATAGATTTCCACTCTTCCAGAGCATCGAGTAGATCCAGCTAATCTGACACCTAGGCACAGAACATAGGATGGAAATTAAATCTGTTTTCATTGTTTGTCATGGGTTTACGGCAGACAAGACAGGTAAAACTTGCAGTCACATAAAAACATAATACAAGATGCAAAAGTTGGTTGCCAGCCCTGACTGACTATATATAAGTTACAGAGGAAACACAAAAGTTTGTTTGAAACTGATAAAGAAACTTTCTTTAATGTGGATCACCTCATTGTGATTACAGTCCTTTTGCCGAAAACCACTGTACTGCCGCTCACTTAAAGACCTTTATTTATTTTCTTATTCTTTTACAGATTTATTTTTTATGGCACTCCCATGACTCCACAGTCAAACATAATATTACAACATACAGTACAGTATAGCAGATACAGTAAGTGAGTCAAAATTCTTCTCACCTGAACAGACGACACCAGCGTCCTCACTATGTTCACAGTCATGTGTCCCAAATTCTCCGTGCTGACACTCACTTAGAGACCCTTCATTTCCTGAACAGGCCACATCATCAAGCCAGATCTTCCCGGTTCCTTGACCAAATTGGGCTGATTGAGGGGCACTCAGTGCTGTACCACAGTTCAACTGTCTGCACACCACCTTAGCATCATTTACATCCCAGTTGTCATCACAAACTGTTCCCCAGACACCTCTGTAATTAACTTCTACTCTACCAGAGCACTGAGTAGATCCAGATCCAGCCAATCTGATCTGAACACCTATCAGGCACAAGACATGACAAACTATATTTTAACATTTTACTCAAAGCTAAAAACATTCTATGTCTGACACAGGAGAACGGACTGACCTCCAGCAGGTGAAGATGACGCCGACAGAAAAGAGACTAGGAGAAAAATGGCGTAGTTCAGTACATTCAGTAACGTGGAAAGTGCTAAAAGAAAAGTTTCCCTTGTTTCTGCTTATTGAACTAGAGTAATAGATATTTAATTTTTCTTACCAAGGGTCAAAAAGCAAAGGTTTCTTTGTTGTCTGCTCTTCATGGTTCAGAGAAAAAGGCAGCTCTGCATCGTTTATCACTGAAAAACAGGAGACAGAAAACTGAACTACTCAAGACGTTGTACAGAAACTTTTCACACTTTTCTCACTTCCTGGAGCACTTCTCTCTTTCACTTTTGATCCATCTCTTCTTTTTTTTTTTGAATACTCACTTTTATATGCATGCACTGTTCTTTATAACCAACTGCATTTTACCTTTATATGTAGAGGTTACCTCTGAGAATGTATTTATTATACGTTGTAATGTATTTATTGTAATCTATAATTCCAATTTTCCCAAAAGTTTTCTTTAAAAAATGTGCCCACAGATACAGGGCCACTACCATACTGGCTGGAGGCCGGTCCTTGATACTTCCATGTGGGACGTGTAGCTCTATCCTGCTGTATTTGTATTTCAGGAAGTGTACACTCCAGCAACCCCCACCCAACTTCTTGTTTGAGATCACATTATGTTCATCAAACATATTGGTTAGTCCTAAAAGCCTTTCTCTCTTATCAAATGGAAACATACTGTTTGAAAAACTGAATAATAATAAATAAATCTCTGTGTTTCATGTTCAAATGCTAAGTAGATAAACATGATTAAATATATGAATCTGAGTACGTCTGATTTGACCTTTTCTTCATCTGTGGTTAACTGGCTTCACACTACAGTAGAAAACCACATTATAGGTCCCTAGATGATGAACCCTACTTTCCCGCAGCAGCACCATGAGGTTGTCAGTTTTGATTTCGACTAGATATGTATTAAATCTACCAAGAGGATTAAGCCTAGCTCTGAAAAACATGCAGGCATCGATGGGATGGATAGGCAATGGGACATACAATTCCCATGGTTCGGACAATTTGAAACTGGTTTTGAACTGGATCCAATTCTCGATTCCCATCCCTAATTACATCACATCATTTCTGCAGCGACATCCTTCTTGCTGCAAATCTCCTTTTTCACCACATCCCAAAGGTGTTCTACTGGATTCAGATCTGGTGACAAGAGAGGTCATTGACGTACAGTGAACTCATTGTCATGTTCATGAAATCAGTTTGATACAACTTGTGTTTTGTGACATGGTGCATTATCCTGCACCATGTCATGGAGGGATGCACATGGTCAGCAACAATACTCAGACTGTGTGTTAGGATTAGGGCCTTGTCGTCCTTTTCTTTCCCTCTTGTGCTCTGCTGTTTTCCCGTCCCTCATGTGTTTGTTCGTCCCCAGTTTGTTCTTTGTGTCTGTATTTGTGTGTTTGTCAGCTGGGCGGGGCTTCCTGGTTCCTGCTCCCTTCAGTCTCCATACTCACCTGCTTCTCATCATGATATCAACTCCACAACCTGCTTGTTTTTCACCACTACTCAGTGTTCTGCTTTGTGGGTTCAGATCTATTCAAAACCTCACACTGGGGCATTCAATCAATGATTGATTGATCTTAAGGCGCCAGAAGTGTGTCAAGAAAACATTCCCCACATCATCACACCACCTCCACCAGCCTTGACCGTTGCCACAAGGCAGGCTGGGTCAATGGATTCATGCTGCTCAGTCATGCTTCCATCAAGAGGCCGAAGCTCTAGATCATGTGACGCACTGTGATGGAAATCTTGCTAGTGGAAGAGGTTTCAGGAGACCCAGAAGTTATTCTTTGTGGAACCACCATAATGTGAATGTTTTCAGGAGAAACTCAAACAAAAGCTGGTAAGTGCAACAAGGGTAATTTAATAAACAGATTATAAACTGGTGCAAAACTGAAGAACTGGCAAGAAAACAAAACTCAGATTAAAGCTGCCAGCATGCCATTTGAAGCAGTCACACATCATAACGACCGCTGGGCACTCCTCACGGGTTAAGGTTTATTACACAGACTGTGTGTCAGCAGAAAAGATTTAAAGTCTATCCTTCAACACACATCGATTTCAACATTGTTTAATAATCCAACCAGGTAAAACTCCTGACTTCCTGAGTGAAAACAAAAGGGGTCACTTATTATAAAAGCTAACTTCAAAGAGGTAAAATAATAACTTAACCATAACAGCCACACAAAAGGCTTCTAAAATTAAATATTAAACTCTATATTAATGTATCTCTATAACAACTAATCCTCCATTGTCTCACTGATCATGACTGAGCACTACTGTTTGCTAAAATTTGATCATATATGACATTTAATATTGGTGATGAAATGCCAAGCCAACATTGGAAATGATGGGGCGGGCTATCAGCTAGCTAACATTAGCTAGCTTACATTAGCTAGCTAGCTAGAAATCCATCTGGATGTGAGATGAGCTCCTACTCCGCTGCCTGGACTCCTGCCTCTTCTGTCAGCACTCCTTCAGCCCTGGAAACACCAAGGTTGATATGATCCAACTCTATGTTCTCCTGTTGGTCAGGCTTCTTCCCCCTGGTGGACTGGAGAGACATGACAGCACACAGACGTAAGTTACTGCATCACCCCTCTCTTCAGTTCAATATACACAAGCTGATTGCTTCCTGTCAGTACATGTACCTTATTGACGAAACAGATGATTTTGACCATCAACAGCAGACTCAGCAGCAGGATGACCAGTCTGATGATAAAACTTTTTGGATCTGATGAAACACATACAGTCATCATATTAGATCACATGACATCACCAACAGCAGGTACCCTACCTGGAGAAAAGGTGCTGCACCCACAGGTGCTCCAGTTTTTTTGTGTGGCCACTCTGATCGCTTCTACTCAAAAATCTCTGAATCTACTGCACACGACTGTGTTTTGTTTTGTTTCATGACTTATTTCATTGATTTATATGCTTTTCTTACCAGTGATAGAGAGTCGGACAGAGTCGTTGAGAGTGCAGATGAAGTTACGACTGGAGCTGCTTTTCTGATACTGACACCGGTACAATCCCTCATTGACAAATTCCACTTTAGGGATGCTGAAGGTAGCAGAATTGGTATTGGATTTCTGTGTCTTTCTTAATGAACCTGGTGTCCTCTTAAAGTGAATGTTCCTCCTAAAACCTGAGTTGAGATCGAACAAGTGATTCTAACGTCCTGACCCCAGGTAACTTCACCAACAGGGTTCATGGAGATGCTGGGCTTGGGAAAGATCACTGAAGAAGCAGTTCAGTATTACAGCATAAATGTGTTTCCTTTGAACTGAGCTATACTGATTATGACTTCTTATTAGTTTGCTACTGTTTAATGATTTACACAAGTGAATGAAACAGGAAAATAGAATAATTTTTTCTTATCAGTAACAGTGAGTCTGACAATGTCAGATAGGCTGGAGCTGAATGTTTGACCTGAAATGCTTTTCTCATGCTGACACTGATACAATCCCTCATTGTCAAAGTTCACTTTAGGGTTTCTGGTTCCATCCCTATTTATCAAGAATCAAATAAAATATGAACCATTTGTGTGAAAGGTTGTCATAATTGCTGTGTGAAGCCTTGAGTTATGGCTAAAAAAACAGTAATGACCACCAAAATCTGGCCAGTTTTGCCTTGAGTCCAAGTGAACGTGCCAAATGTGAAGGGATTCCCCTCAAGGTGTTATGGAGACATTGCATTCACAATTATAACTCTTGTTTAGCTTTGTTTTTGGTCTCTGCCAACTACTGAGAAAAATATTTGGCTCTTCAGTATAGAGGATACTGTAAGTGAGTCAAAATTCTTCTCACCTGAACAGACGACACCAGCGTCCTCACTATGTTTACAGTCATGTGTCCCAAATCCTCTGTGCTGACACGCACTTAGAGACCCTTCATATCCTGAACAGGCCACATCATCAAGCCAGATCTTCCCGGTTCCTTGACCAAATTGGGCTGATTGAAGGGCACTCAGTGCTGTACCACAGCCCACCTGTCTGCACACCACCTTAGCATCATTTACATCCCAGTTGTCATCACAAACTGTTCCCCAGACACCTCCGTAATAAACTTCAACTCTACCAGAGCATTGAGTAGATCCAGATCCAGCCAGTCTGATCTGAACCCCTATCAGGCACAAGACATGACAAACTATATTTTAATATTTTGCTCAAAGCTAAAAACATTCTATGTCTGACACAGGAGAACGAACTGACCTCCAGCAGGTGAAGATGACGCCGACAGAAAAGAGACTATAGGAGAAAAATGGCGTAGTTCAGTACATTCAGTAAGGTGGAAAGTGCTAAAAGAAAAGTTGCCCTTGTTTATGATTTAAATAATTTATTAAACTAATTTAATAGATATTTACTAGATATTTAGACCTCCCTCCTTTGTATACTATCTTTGTTGAGAAAAAGAGAAAAAACAGACAGAAAAAAGCCTTAAAAACTAAATTAAACATATGTCTTACCAAAGACCAAAAAGCGAAGGTTTCTCTGTCTGTTCATCATGGCTCAGTGACAAATGCTGCATCATTTATCACAAAAAAATCAGAGGACAGGAAAGTCAATTAACAGCAAGAATATATGTACATATATATACATACATATATACACATACATACATATACTCAGCTTCAGATTTATCCAGGTTAAGTCTGAGGTAATTGCAGTCGGTAGTCATCCAAGCATTGATGTCATTCAACCAGTCTGTCATGTATCCCAAGTTGCACCACCTAGGTGTATCATCACAAAGTCAGAGAAATACATCTCTGGAACGTAACTAAATAGTCTCTTAAATTTGTAACACACAAGAAGTGCTTGTCAGTAGTTAATATTTATTCTGAAATGCTTGTCTGAAGAGGTCTGTCACTTAATTGTTTATTTGTCTGTCTTTTTTTCATTAATCTTTGTTGGAATTTTTATTCAATTGTTTTATTTTAAGAACTGGTACGTCTGATTGTTTGTACTTTTTCACATTTAAATAAAGTTTATTTTATTTTACAACTATTGAAATTACTTAGATTTAATTTTGCAGACCTATGCACAGTCACCAAGGAGAAACAGCTTGAGATAATCAAGAAAATAATGTTTTATCTCCTGAAGTGATTAGTACTCAATCCTGAAAAAAATGTTGTAACTTGTTAAAAACACAATGCTGATAAATACCTGATAACTTTTATTTTAAAACACACAAAAATCAGTCATACCTG